CCTGCGGGCGGGCGAGGCTGGGGGCTCTCCCCGGCGCCGTGAGCGTGGCGCAGAGGCGCTTCTCCCTGATCCTGGCGCTGACCAAAGTCCTCCTCTGGCTGCCCATGATGGTAAAGCGCCGCTGCTCGGAGCGCGCGCGCCTGTGTGGGGCCGGGTGGGTGCGCGCTGGGACTCGCGTGTCTGGTGGGGGAGTCACTGGAGGACGCGGAGTTCATTTGCTTCCAGACACAGTTTATTGGAGACGATCTCAAAGGCAGGCAGTTTGCTGGGTGGGGTGGGTGGGGCCGGGGCCCCGGAATCTTCATTCACGGAAAGATTCTTATTTCAGAATTGTGGTGGAGAGGATTGGCGCGTTCGAGTTAGTTCTCCCAGCTCTGTTGTGGCCAAAGGTGCTCTTGTGGCCCACAGGGATAAGATAAGGTGCAGGGCAGGAAATATTTGGTTTATGTGGGTGGGTGGGTGGGCTTTTGTTTTGTGGGGTTTCCTCCCTTCTCTTCAACCTCTGTCATCGCTTTTCTCCTCCGCTCCCTCTGAGAGATGTTCTGCACCTCCACCAGAGAGACAGGAAAGGAGCGCTCAGATGAAGCAAAGGAAGAAAAGAGGATAAAGAGGGCTTTTTTTTTTCCGTTCAGGTCTCCAGGCAGCAGCCCAGTTGAGAGTAGCAGGGTGGGGCCTCAGTGAGACAGGTGTAGATCACATGCAAATCTGTGTCCCTGGATCAAGGCCTTTGCTGGTGGACTGGTGGCGGTTGAGTGGGCAGGTGGTACAAACCCCAGCACTCCAAGAGCAGAAATCCCTAAAGCCTTGTGTGGTCCCGCACCAAGGACTGCATTTCTGGTTCCCAGGATCGCCCTAGGAGCGGGCTTCACGCCTTCCGGGGCAGCAGGAGGATGTGCAGAAGGCGGCTGGGGCAGCAGCCCTGGGAAGGCTTGAGGAAGTGGCAAGTGTGATCTTGAGTTTGGCCCTAAGTTCTGCCTTCTTTACAGATCCACATGATGGTCCAGCACGTGGTGGGGTTTCAGGTTCCCTTCGAGACCCTCAGTTTTCTACTAACCCTTCTGGCTGCTACCGTCACCCCCGTGTTCGTTCTGTCAAAACGCTGGACCCACCTGCCTTGTGGCTGCATCATCAACTGCAGACCGAATGCATATGAAGGTGCTTCGGGTGAGAAGAGAGGTAAGTCCTGGACAGGTCAAGTGCAATGACTGAGCAAGTGGAAAAAGGGTTGAGGAGCCCAAAACAAATGTTAATGACAGCCAATAGAAACGATAGTGTGAAACAGTTACGCTGTCAGGGGTCAGTGTTGAACCACAGACAGGTTAGTTTCACAAAGTCTTTCTAAACTGAGTAATTACTGTTGATAGGAAAGCAAGTGAACTGAATTCCTCCAGCACAGAATGAAGCCTTCACACCTTCTGTGGCTATAACTTGTAGCATCCAGGATTGAAAATAAACCTCTATCTAAAATAAGCTGTGTAGCTTGTGCTTGGGGAAAGGTTTTAACTCTCTGTGAAGGATTTTAAAATTCACAGTATGTTACAATCCATAATTATTTGTTGAAACTTTTTTATTTTAAAGTTATGTTACATGACTGCTTGTATTTTCCCCGGCTTTGGAAAGCTGTCAGGACAAATCGTAGTAACAGTAGTATGTGTCCACACCTCCAAAGCAAATTTGAAGCATACATCTCTGCTGTGAAAAGTGAACCACACACACTTTATTTCCAAAAAAAAGGGGGTGAAGCAGCAATGTTTATCAATGTCTGTTTATATATGAAACAAGCAGTGCTACTTACATTGAAAAGAAAATTACTTTCTAAAGAACACACCTAAATGGGGATACGAGATACAATTTCAGAACTTTCCAGTATGTCATTATTTTTAGTACTAAGGCCAGAAAAGTGAAGCACAATCTTTATGTTTCCGACTCTGAAAGGAAGAAAAAGAATGTTATTTTGTATCCATTGGGGAAAAAATAGGATATTCTAGGATACAATAAATGTAGGAAAGCATTAGTGAATGTTGAATTAATTGTTCCATTACTCATGGAAAATTCTTTTTGCAGAATACACAATTACTCTGTAATAGAGAAGAAAGATTAAATAAAAATAGTTCATCTCTAGCTATTTTCAAGTTGACAGAATCAAAAATATACTCTCTAATCAAATCAACAATAGTTTATTTTAGAAACATTAATTAGTGAATTTAACACTTTTCTTGTATTGATGACATTTAAAACTTAGTGTGTCTGCCTCTTTTTTCAGTTGGTAAGAAGGTTTTCTTGTTAAAGGTATTAGAACATAATATTGCTGATAAATAGTAAATTCATCTTTATCTTTAAAATAAAGCTATAATACTGATAATAATGGCATAGCATTTGTAATAAGGATGTGCTTCTTGAGATGAATAGAATAGGAACAGTGATATAGAAATTAATAATGAACCATTATGAAACACTGTTCTTGTTATGTGTCATGAAATCCATAGTAACCCTATGCACAACAGCTCTGAAGCCTGCCCTGTCCCGAGCCAGTCCCACTGACTCTGACACACCTACCTCCATTCATTGCCCCACTTACTGTAACATTCCATGTCATCCGGAATCTTCCTCTCCTGTGCTGTCCCTACACCCTTCCAAGCATGATGTCTTTCTCCAAGGTTAGGTCTATCCTGGCCACATGCCCAAAATATGTGAGATGGTGCTTCAAAATCCTAGCCACCAAGGAGGAACTTGGTTTCACTCTCTCCGATCCATGGTATGTTCAAAATTCTTCTCCAGCACCACAACTCAAAGACATTGATTCGTCTTCTGTCATCCTTAGTCCTTAGTCATTGCCCGGCTCTCTGATGTATATAGCATGTAATTGCAAAGACCATGGCCTGGATCGGGCGCACCTTAGTCTCTAGACTGACATCATTGTTCCTCAGCACTCTAGAGAGGTCCCTGACAGCAGACTTCCCCAGTGCAATTAGTCTTTTGAGAAAGACAAATAGAGCCAAGTGTCAGTGAGAGTAAAACGTCTTCATGTAGCAGGTTTTAAGTAAGCAGTTTTAAGCACTCACATCAGAGGCTAAAGACAGTGCAACTAGCAAATACATTCTGTGCCCACTACATAGAAGAGTCGCAGCAAAGTTAGCATCAACAATCATGTTAATACCACACATTGTCTTTCAAGAGGAAAATATTGATACTTCTATGAATTATTTATTTGTATGTATCTTTCAAGTTCAAAAAGTTCTTGGAATGTATGTTGTTGTGTACCATAGAGTTGGAACTGACTCATAGCTGACCCTCTGGCAAGTTTTCAGAGGCAGTTAATTACCTGGGAGGAGACTGCCCATCCTTCTCCGGCAGAGCAGCTGGTGGCCTTGAACTGCATGACTTCTTGCCACTAGGTCACCAGAGCTCCCTTGGAAGCTATCTCTATCTATACCTCTGTCTCTGTCTCTATCGGAATATATAGACTTATTTTAAAAAGTATAGTTCTAAATACAAAAACAGTGAGAAACTTTAAGATGCTTATAGTTCAGATGGCCCCATTCTTTCTTAAGATCTCAAGCTTTGCTGTAGTGGAACTCTGAGATTTAGACAGGATTATGTAAGAAGCTAACATAAATTTTCCTGTCGCTAGAGCTACACAAAGGAGCTCTGGAGGCTAGGAATTGGATTGACAACCTGAAGGTATCCAGTTCAAATTCACCAGCTGCCCTAGAAAAATGGGAGAAAGATGGGCAATTTCATCCCATGCATTTACTGCCGCTGAAAACCTACTAGGTCAACTATGGGTTGGTTGCAACTGGACGGTACTCAACAACCGTTAACAACAGAAAGACCCAATAGGCTGTTACTGTGAGGTGAGTGCCACAGGCAGAAGAATTCTACCTGACAGAAGAGACCAGAGAAAAGGACGGTGCTCCAGTCCCAATGTATCACAGCGAACAGTTTCAGTGTTTCTTGGGAGGGCAGACTATAGCGTCTGGAGCATTAACCATAGATCAAAGCGTTTTGTTAGAGTACAGTGATGAGAAGAAAAAGACAAAGAGGCAGAAAACAGTAAAGACAGATTTATTAGAAATTTGCATCCACGAAGGGACAGACCTCCTTTCTTGAAAGGAAATAGGGAGAAAATCCTGGTGTTACTGAGGTGAGGCTCTGGGTATGGTCTTCTTGTCTGGGTGGGCTTCAGTGCTGGGTCTGACCAATGTGACGATGCCATGGAGAGTTCAAAATTTAATGGTGGTTCTCACTCTGGTCCCTGTTCTCTGATTCTTTGACTCTGATTTGGGTCATTCATGCACCCAAAGTGACATCACTGCTTCTGACATCACTCATGTATCCAAAGCACCAGTTCTATGTATGTCAGTACTAGCTCCTGGTTCTGACGGCTTCCTTTTCCAAGCATCATATCCCGAGCTTCTTTTCTTGATTCTAAACCCAGCAATGAGAGTTTCCAAAGTCCAGAAAAGCCCATCTTGGAGTGCGTTAGCAGTTACAGCTCTTTCTCTCTAACGAAGGGAAACACTTTCCCTTCTCAGTCTTCATCCACAAACTGCAAGAACAAGGAAGGAAAAACCCTTTTCCTTAACTCGTATTTACTGTATGTCCATTTCTCACATGTAAATAAGAACCACACCTCAGATTCTCTGAATAGTAACTGAGAAACAGATGACTAGAAAACGAATTTCAGCCTTGGGAAAGAATTTGCAGAAATGACAGCTTTGTATGTTTCCAACAATAATTTGTATGTATCAGGATTTGAAAATGAAAACATTTTTAAAAGAAATAAACAGAGAGCAGAAAGATGACTTTTTTTTTTTTTTTTTAAATTTTGTGTACGTGTACCGTCAAATCAGATCTGACTGGTACAGGAGGATATTGCGCCTCCTTCTCCGGCAGAGCGTCTGGTGGATTCGAACCGTGTTCCTCTGGGATTGCAGTGCAGTTTCTTGCCACTAGGCCACCAGAGCTCCCCAGAAAGATGACTTTGACGTTAAGGTCACAGTCCAGTCACAGCTTTCAGCCTCCTTTTGTTGGCCCGAGATGATTTCTTTTAATAAAACAGGTAGTTTAAAATCTATTAGATAAAAAGTCAAACTCCCAGCTTTTGCTTGTTAGTAACACTTGTTTCGTTATTGTTGTTGATTGCCTTGGAGTTGAGCACGACTCCTAGCAAGGCTATGAACATAAAGGCCTGAAGCCCCTCTACAACCATCAATATTTATCAAAGTTCATGGAGTTACCAGACGCATATTATTTAGGAAGTGGATGCCACTCCTGCTTCCAAACCTGTCATAGTATGTTATTGTTGTTATGTGTTTTCTAAGTTGTATGTTACTCTGAAGAACTACTTTTTAAGTTGATTAACTATTTTTATCTATATTTATGAAGGACAAGATGTGATTAAAAGTGAGTCTAAGACTAATTCCTGTTTTACGTTGGTTTTTGAAACAGTGAAACTTCGGCTTTTCAGAGCAAATACACCATTCTTTTCATAATTGTGGTATAAATACCAAAATATCCTAGGCTATATTCAAATTATCTCTAAGTTAATTACAGGTTATTAATCACAGCACATAAATGTTGTTGTTATGTGCCGTTGTTGAGTCATCTGTGACTCATAGCAACCCTATGTACAACAGCTCTGAAGCCAGCCCTGTCCTGAGACAGTCTCACTGACCCCGATACCCGTAACCCCATTGCCCTAGTTATTGTATCAATCCATCTCACCCTGGGTCTACACAATTGTAAACAGTCTTATTCTCTTTGTAATTACCGACAAATGAGAAGCCACACATAGCCGACCTTCCAGCAGGTGTTCAGAGGCCATAAACTGCACAGGAGATGGTCACCCACTGTTGTTCCATGAGGTCACTGGTAGATTCAAACTGCCAGAAGTCCTTCCTAGCAGAACTCCTTAAGAAATAGACCAACAGAATTGACTAAACAATCTTGCTATGTGTTTTCCATTGGCATAAAAATATTGTGGTGGTGGTGGTTATGTGCTGTCGAGTCGCTTGCGACTTATAGTGACCCTATGAACAACAGCCCTAAACCCTGCTCTATCCCTTGCCAATCCTATTGTCTCCGACACGCCTACCCCCATTACCCCAGTGACGGAATCAATCCATCTCATCAAGGGTCTTCCTCTCCTGCCCTGTCTTTCCACCCTCCTAAAC